TCAATCTCCAGTACTACCACCATCACCATACCCCCACTCCTGAGTTTTGCTCAAAGGAGTAAATCACAAATATTTGGTTTAAAAGGAAAAAGCTATAGTTTTAGATCCCTATTTTGTTCTTGAAATTATTTGAATGTCTTTAAGAATGCTGAGAATATGTTCACATAAATATCTTATTATTTAACTGGTATTAATAAAGGCAAGTCTTTCCTACCTCTGCTTTCTTTTTTGTTGTTGTTTTTGAGACAAAGTCTCACTGTGCAGTTTACATTTGCCTTAAATTCACTGTGTAGCCTAGGCTGCTCTTGAACTTGCAGTGATCCTCCTGCCTCAGCCTCCTGAGTGTTGGGATTACAGGAGTGTGCCAACACACCCGGCACATGTTTCATAGTAACCAGAATATTAATCAAACCTGTTAAACAGCAGTTCTCAATTGCCAATTGTAAAAAGGTGAGAACTGAGAAATTAAGAATATTAAAAATTGCCTTTACTAAATTTTGCAATGACTATTGAATCCAATTAGTTTTAAATTTGGAACAGAAACACTCTTTACTATTTATCTGCTATTATACTTATTGCTAATGAACTGTTTTATGTTCATTACAGCTCAGGACTGAATGACACTGACTCATGGTACAGATCTTTTCTTTTGTTTTAAATTTTATTCTTCAGAAGATATCTGTTGAGTACCTACTAGGTGCAAGTTTTTTGTTTGTCGTTTTGTTTTGTTTTGTTTTTTGTACTGGGGATCAAACTCGGGACCTTGCACTTGGAAGGCAGGTGACAGAACCACTGAGCTAAATCCCCAGCCCCTAGATCTTTTCTAAGTAATGATAGAAACCAAACTGGGCACGTTATGTATACAACAGCAGGACACCACCATTTCTTTCATCTTCATATAAGTTGTGTCCTGCAGCGTTTTATTTTTTTTCAAATTGGATTTTAATTTTGAAAACAACACTATTGTTGAGGTGCATCTCACTTTCTTCATGTTTACTAAGAATATGTGATAAATGCTGCCAATCTCTGCATCCAATCTCATTTTTCAGTTGATTTTTTCCTTCCCCAAAGAGTTTGCAATACAGGCAAAACACAGAATCTTTAGAAGTAGAATAAAGTAACCAGGATCTAGTGATTTTTTCACCATGTGGAAGAATTCGTGTATAGTAAGTTTCTGAAAACTTCCTGCCTGTGTTGTCTTTTGGAAAGTCAAAATCTCTTACTTGAGGTGGATCACTCTCAACAAGTGTGTCCCATTGCTTAATATTCAAAATTCGAGGCCACGTACCTGGATCCGCAGAAAGCCCAACTGATAGAAAGGAGTCTTCTGATTTTTTTGTCTTCCAGTTGCTTCTGAAATTCATCAGCTATGGGTAACACAGAATAACGCAAATTCATATTTTGTTTGTTCAGGGACATATCCGGGCTACATTCTGTTGCAACTTTTTCTAAAGTCTTCTCTTTTTTTTCTGGTACTCGCTCTATTTTTTCTAAAAGTATATTTAATAATCCATATAGTTTACTTTCATTTTCTTCTCCTATACCACTCCTTTTCCTTTTTTCTGATGCTGATAATGTTTGTGATTTTATTTCCATCATCTGTTTATATTCATTAATACAATTTTGGCAGCAAAATCTCTTCTGCTGACCTCCAATCAGGATACCCTTTCCCATATTTTTATCAGGCATGTACTCTCCACACTGTTCACAGCAGTTCATTTTTAAACCATTGGCCAACCTGTACTTATTAAAGCAATGGTTACTGCACAGCTTGTGAGTTACATTATTAACACTGACTTCATGGTGAACCTCTGTCAGTTTATTACAGATTATACATCGTGATGTATTAAAAACTCCTTTTCTAAGATGATGACTGTCTTCACAGAGAGACAAAGATGTACTAGCAAATTCTTAGAAGGATCTGCTTGATTCCACTGGAGGAACAACAGTAGCCTTCTTTGTAGGTGCATCTTTTTTACATATTATATTTTGTGTTTTTCGAATACATTTGAGAGAAGGAAGAAAGGCAGGTGGTAGAACAAAAGATACGAGCTGATACTTTTTGGTGGTAAGCTGTTTGTCCCTTCTGTGAAGGATTTTTGGAGTTTGCACAAGTGATTTTAGCTGGTTGCTGTCAGGCAGAAGGCTGGAAAATCTGTTTAGGAAATGAAGCCACTGGTGATAGAGAATCCACCCCTGGCTGTTTCTGATTACGGGGAAATGATGCTGACTAGGGGATCTAAGAATCAGGATTATGCTGAGTTGTAAATCCTCCATTCTGAAATACATCTCCTGCCACATTCATTCTACCAGGATTAAAAGGTCTTACTCCAGTCTTGGTCTGTGAAGTTAAAGACGGCGCACATGTTTGTATATTAGCACCAAAATTACTTGAGTGCAGTCTGTTAGCACATCTCCCAAGCTGACATTCCACAGTGTTGTTATAAAGTGTGATTAAGTTCATATCTCGCCCAGCATTCAGAGTTTACACCTGTTTCTAATACTATAACATTAGTAATATGCATTTCAGAGTCTGGCTCTGCAATGATAACACTATTACCCATTCCTGCATTTACCTTACTTCTTGAACGACTGGATGTGGAGAAATCCGAATCTTTGGTACTGTTTTTAGTTCCAGGAAGTCCCCACTGTATTACTGGAAGAATTTTTTTTCTCCCCTCCATTTGTTTCTATGTCCTATTCATCATCAATAACAACTGTCTCAAACAAATTTCCTTTCTGAGAAGCCAAATCTCTTGAGAAAGGCAGAATTACAGAACAATTTCCTTGTGGCTTTTCATGTTTTGATGATGTAAATATAAAGTTTCTTTGACCAGCTATTGCTGGAACAGAAATTGAAGGAGGTTGTAGAGATTCAATAACTACAACATCATCATCATCTTCCACTGATAAGTTTCTAGATCTATTGACTAAAGGATCTGTGGGATCACCACATGAATTTCCTATGTCCATGAGACTAGCTGTCATGGCTGTACTCCTTAATACAGCATGAGCATGGTCAGTCAAGTCTAATCTTCCCATTGATGGATCGTCCATGCCAAACAACAATAGAGATGTTTTCCTTCTTAATTTCTGCCAAAGTTTCAGCAGAATAACATTAAGGGGAATCCTGGTTCCAGCTAGCTCAGCAGCGCCCGCACTCCTGCAACCCTCGGGCCACACGCCGGGGAGGATGGGACATGTGCGCCGCACCCAGCAGCCCCGAAGCCCCAACGCACAGTGCAGTGGCCACAGAGTCCGGGCCGCGGCTTGCTCAAGACTACTTATTTTTAAATAGAACTGATACAAAAGGCTGGTACCGTGGTTTCAGTGGAGTACCAGAAGAAAAAAGAGAAAAAGATGACTCCTTATTTTCTGCTTTTGCCAATGGGCAAGTGCGATTGGATAAAGATGTCTAATGTGCACACAGGCATCTGAGGCACAGAGGAGAGCGTCCCAGGGCCTGCATGATATTACCCGGATGTTAGCACCTGCATGATACCTAAGAAGTCTCTTGAGAACTCGGTGCTGGGGCAATCCAAACCATCACATGTGCCAAATGCTGTTGATGAAGAGAGTAAAATGAGGACTGAACACGACCACGGGAAGTCACTGTTGAGGACATACTGGTGTCAGCGGTGGGAAGAAAAGTCTGACAGGTACACGCTTAAAAGTGGATGGATTTCTTCAACAAAAAAACTAATGTTGGGTCTGGGGATTTAGCTCAGTGGTTCCGCCGCCTGCTTCGCAAGCGCAAGAACCCGAGTTCGATCCCCGGCACCAAAACAAACAAACAAACAAAAAACTAATGTGTGTGGGAAAACTGAAACGGGAGGAGGAACCTATAGAAGAACAGGTAACTGAAAAACATCAGCCAGTCAAAAAGGGAGGGCCTTCTGTGGAACCAGAGACATTTGGGATTCAACCACTGACCTGGTAATAGATGACATGAAAGGTTTATTACTTTGTTCTGAAACGAGACAAGAGTATGGTTGTATTTTTTTTTTAAGTCCTTACTTTTTAGAAATGCATGCCATAATAGAGATGAAAGAAAATGGTTCCACGGGCAGGTAATTATTGGAGCTGGTTGAAGAGTATACTGCACTCTCGTTTATGTTTGGAAGTCTCTACTAGTTTTAAAAAAATGAAATCAAAGAATCCTATTTTTAAAGAGATAAAGTCGAGAACTTTTATCAGATAACAATCTTATTTTTTGTGTGTAACATACTTTTTAAAGACTCCCAAGATGGAAATTTGTGACAGTTTTTGTGAAAATAATGTCCAAAAACAAGCCATTTACGTCTGATTTTTCCTATTTGGTAATTTGTGACTGAGAAATATAATAAAAAATCTCTGAATTCCTAAATGAAAAGTGAGCAGATGGTGAAGAAATGAATATTCAGAATATTATTAATCTCAAATCATATTCACAGTTTTTCCAGACTGAAAAATATACAACAAATAGCATATTGAGTCCTCTCTCATGTTTGAAAGATTCTTTTTTTTATATCTATATATTTTTCTTTTTCTTTTTTGGGTACCAGGGATCGAACTTGGGACCTTCTGCTTGCGAGGCAGGTGGTTGGAACCACTGAGCTAAATCCCTGGTCCCTAAAGATTCTTTTTTAAAATTAATTTTATTGGTACATTTTTGGTATACAATAGTTACATTCATCACTGGAAATCTGCATCTTTATATTAAAGATTCTTTTTGATGGTGACACTAACGCTGACAGAATTTTTAAAAATATCTGCTTATCCATCTTTTGTGATTTTTTTTTAACATTAGGCAAAAGGATGCCTTGCTCAATTTTAACAGTTAAAGTTACAAAGGAGGAACAAAGGAACAGAACTAGCAATTACTACTTTTACTGACAGAAAATACAAAGAAACACACCTCAGACCTGACAGTCTTCTACCACGACAAAAGGCGAGTGAGTATGCGCAGGCGCAATAGCGAGCCTGCGGTCTGGGGTGGGACTAGACTCACAGTTAAAGGACAGCTCCTGCAGCCAATCAAAGGAGCGCGTCAGTGGCTTCTTCCGTAGCAGAACGGAAGTCCGATTGGGCTGCGGTGGCGAAAGCTGCTACAGTGTAAACCTAAAGCTGAGGTGAGTGGTTGGTGAGTCCTGGTGAGTTGTTCCTTCCCTGCCCGACCCCTGGTCTTCCTCTGGGCTGGCTGGGAGCCGGGAGACCCGGCGAGGTTCGGCTCCGAGGTGGCGGCTCGCCGTCCTCTCCTGCCCCGAGGAGGCCCTGGTGGGCAGCCCGGCCTCCTTCCGTAGACCCCGACTGTGTTCTGAGCTGTGTGGCCTCAGCGAGGCTTTGCCTTCTCTGGCCCTTTGCAAAATGGGAACCACCATCTATCTCTGTCCCTCTGGGAGCAGGGTCCGATCCCAGTGGACAGAGGTAATCAGACCCTGAGGGAACACCCTTATTCTTCTGCCCCCATAGAGCAGGCCCCAGAAGGTGTGAGCCTGAGAGCCAGTTACAATTCCTCCTGCTGGCTTTAATACAGCAGCACCTCGCTGGGTTTGCAAGTTCAGTCTAAAAGCGGTAGGCAAACATAGTTTCTGTAGCACGTTAAATTCTTATTGTACCGTTGAATGTTGCACGGCTTAGTGGTTTATGAAAGTTTGTGCTTTGGAGCTAAAAAGACCCGGGATTAAGAATTCTTGTTAGGTGATTTACTAGCCTTTTCATCTGATGCCAGCGCTTAACCACGTTGACACTGGGAATCCTCATCTCTAAAGTGAAGGTGTATTTCACTCACAGCATTGTGTAACTTGTGGAAAATATAAAACGATAGCACCTGTTGGGTATTGGTTTTTGGAAAATGGCAGCTTTGGTGATGGGCTTCCTATAGGGAGCCACAGAGCTTTCAACCTTAAAAAATATATAAATAAATAAAAAGGCTTGAATGAGGGAGAAACTTGGACTTTCTAAAATTTTATTTTGAAGTACCAGATCAGTGTTAATTGTCTGGCTTTCGTAATGTACTGTAATAAGAGAATATTCTTCATTTAGGAATATACACGTAAGTATTTGGGGATTAATGGATGAGAAACCAATAAAACAAATGAGGGAAAATGTTAACATTTGGAGAATCTGAGTGAAGAACAAAATACTCTTTAAAAATTCATGTAGCTTTTTGTAAATGTGAATTTGTTAAGTTTGAAGAAGTCAAATGTACTATTTGTAACAAAAATAAGCATGTTATAATCAGTTGAAACAATGTAAGTTTTTATAGACCTCTCACCTATGTATTTGTAGTTGTATAATACATAGACATTATATTTTATCCAGCTTCTTATATTGATAAAGAAATGGCTTATTTTCAACTTTTCCTACTTTTTTCAAACAATGCTGTATTTAACGTCCTTGTGTATAACTTTGTGTGTTTGTACCAGTATTTTATGGGATAAATTTCTAGAAGTGGAATTGTTGGTTCAAAAGAGGTTAGCATTTACTTCTTTGATAATGACAAATTAAAATGTGAGTTAGTTGTGTGTGTGGATTTTCCCCACATTCCTAAGGGAATTATGCAGTGATTAGGATGGTGAGTTCTGTGAGATTGTGAACGAAAGCTCTCAGGAAGTTCTTCCTGTTGTCCACATAGGTAATTTCAGACTTGCTTCTGAAATTGGGATGATCACTGTTTAAAAACAGAAAAGACAGTGACCTCTTCTGGAACCCAGAGCCTCCCTCACAGGAAATGTTCTCATGGTAGAATATTTGAAATCTAGAGAGTCTATTAGATGAACATAGTTCTAAGGCACAGCAGCATTGACATTTGGATAGAGGAGAGGCAGAGTCATCACTGGAAATTACTCCCTTGTCTCTCAGCACAATCCTAGCACACCACTTGGCCCGGTGGGAACTTGGAGTTGCCCCACACTTGCCTTCAGTATTTCACAAATTCCAAATATGTTACATGTCCTATCTGACATTGCCCTGCCTTGAAATTCTAATCAGATTAGTTTAAAGAGAACCTGGGAGAACCTTAGTTTACCTACTCTTGAAACGGAATAAGTGGAAGTTATTGTGGCTCTACAGTTCATAATAGCTGAATCTTGAAAAGAGCCCATATGTCCATCAACAGATGAACGTATAAAGGAAATGTATTTACACCATGGAGTACTATTTTGTTGTGAAGAAGGACAGATGAGTCATCTGTACAAAAATGGATGCACCTTGAGACCATAATGTTAAGTGAAATAAATCAAACACAAGTTAAAATATTAAATTGTTTCTCTTATATGAGAAACCCAGAGTAAAATAAAGAGCAAAATAAAAGATAGATAATAGGGGATACAGAGATAGATTATACTCAGTGGGGAAGATGGAGGGAGAGGAGAGGGAGGGAAGGGATAACGGATGAAAAAGAAGCATCGGGATGTGTTATGTACATATATCAGCTTCACACGAGGGAAAATATGTGGGTAATTGACAATATAATGCTCAGTTAGAAAAGAATGATAGCCTTTCCCTGTTGTAAATGCTAATTTTAGAAAATAAGGAGATCATCTTGTCCTGGACCCGAAACTCAGAAGGAGGAAGAAAATACTGTTTATAGTCACTGCATGTGATGTTTGTTTTGTAGTTGTGCTCTAAACCTTTGGTCTGTTTCCATAGGTTCTTGGTCCTCCACAATGGGTGAACCCCAGCAAGTGAGCGCACTCCCACCACCTCCAATGCAGTACATCAAGGAGTATACAGATGAAAATATTCAGGAAGGCTTAGCGCCCAAGCCTCCCCCTCCAATTAAAGACAGTTATATGATGTTTGGCAACCAGTTCCAATGTGATGATCTTATCATCCGCCCTTTGGAAAGTCAGGGAATTGAACGGCTTCATCCTATGCAGTTTGATCATAAGAAAGAACTGAGAAAACTCAATATGTCAATCCTTATTAATTTTTTGGACCTTTTAGATATCTTGATAAGGAGCCCTGGGAGTATAAAACGAGAAGAGAAGCTAGAAGATCTGAAGCTGCTTTTTGTACACGTGCATCATCTTATAAATGAATACCGACCCCACCAAGCAAGAGAGACCTTGAGAGTCATGATGGAGGTCCAGAAACGCCAACGGCTTGAAACAGCTGAGAGGTTTCAGAAACACCTAGAACGAGTAATTGAGATGATTCAGAATTGCTTGGCTTCTTTGCCTGATGATTTGCCCCATTCAGAAGCAGGGATGAAAGTAAAAACTGAACCAATGGATGCTGATGACAGCAACAATTGTACTGGACAGAATGAACAACAAAGAGAAAATTCAGGTCACAGACGGGACCAGATTATCGAGAAAGATGCTGCCTTATGTGTCCTTGTTGATGAAATGAATGAAAGACCATGAAAGTCTTTCTATTCTTTTTTCATTTTGGTAACTAGAGTTGTAAATTAGTATATTTTCCTTTTGACAGTTAAAAAAGTTACTGTATAGCTAAAAACAAGAGGATTTTTTTCTTGACTCCAGCTTTTCAATTTTGAGATGCTATAGGCAATAATTTCACTGCATAATAAAGCCAAATGACTGTAACTACATTAAGAGTAATCACCTTAAAAAGCAAAATGTTTGCTTTTGAGTGGGAGATTCCTATCTTTGAAGTTGCAATAAAACTTTGAAGATATCCTCAGCTTTCATCCATTTCAAGCTTTTATCCTTGAAAAAATAAATTTGTCATTTGTTTTAAGAATGATAAATAAAAGATATCAAGCTGTATATGTGGAATTATGAAACCTTTAGACTTATTTCATTAAAAATTTTGCTTTATTTCCAAAAAGTAATATAAAATGCTAAGAGGAGAACCCAGTAGAGTTAAAAAAAAAACAAACTTGTATTTTCTTCATGACTGTCCTGCATAAAATGATAGGGTGGCAGTCCCATAAGTTGTTCTTTTTGCCAGTCACTCTGGTAATGAATTATTTGGTCACTTTAGTTTCATGGATCCATTTTAGTAATTAAGAAGACTATGTAGTTAACTATACATTTCCTTTTAGCTCAGGTTTGCTTAGGGTGGGAAGCCTGCAGCAAGAAAAAGTTTGTTAGCAGGGACTGCTAGATGTCTACCAAAGATTCTTGCTTCCTTTTGAGATAAAGTTGAGAGATGGCTGCCCAGTCAGGGAACGCATACCTGTATGTGTCCTTGTATCTATGTGAGGTCTTAGCACTTAAGTCCTGGAAAATGAAATAATATGGGTGTAGGCATCCAGGTCTGCCTCATTAAAATTTCTTACATGATCCTCCATGTTTTTCCGCCATCTCCTGTTTAAATAGGCACATTCAGGGTACCACTGGAAGTCACTTGAAGATGGCAAAGATCAGTCATTCTGGTTCCTTGAAAGAGGACTAGGTCTACCTTTCATTAATTGCACATCTCCTTTCCCAGCGAATGTGACTTTATGTGAGCAAAAAAATAAACTTGTTTTCACTACTGAGATTTTATTTTTGCACTTTTTTTCCCCACCTACCACTTACTCCATTCCTCTTCCACCAAAGTCTTGGTGGAGAAATAGCCTTGTATCTGAGCTCTCTGCCTACCATTTTCTTAATGTAGGCCAGTGACTCAAATTGTCCTGGATCTGCCACATTAGCATCACTTGGGGACTAGTTAGAAATGTGAATTCTGACCCCATTCCAGACCTGAGCCAGAACTCTGGAGACAGCATCCAGGAAGCTGTATTTATCAAGCCTTCCATGTGATTACAATGCAAGTTTAAGATTAAGAACCACTGATAGAGGTAATGCTGTTTCTTAGATGTCTGTTTTTAATTCCACCCTTATCTGGTTTCTAGCAAAGAATTTGCTTCATGAAAGTTTCACTGGCCCTAGAACTGGTAAAGTTCAGTTTAAAGTGACTACAGGCCGATTCTGTGAGACTCATACACCATGAATCTTGGATATACGGGAGTTTTCCCAAGTAGACACCTCTTTATCAGACAGGTACTGTAGGTAGTTCACCAGTCTTTTCTGTTTGGTACAGAGCTTTGGGCTCCAGATATTCCAGTAAACCAGTCTGGGATTTGAAGCTTCAGTTGAAGTGAGAAGGCCCTAACCCAATCTTGTGAGGGAAAAAGTTGAAATTGCATAGCATTGAGCAACTCTCCAAAGATATCTCACCTTTGGTTGTTACAGCTTTGGGGAGGGTGTTGGGTAGAGGTATAAAGCCAGTTTGGGGCCACTTCTTAAATCCTGGTATGTAAAACATGGAATCATCGGACATCATTACAAATCACAACAGTTACTTGTATATGACTGTGTTGGGGGAGGAGTTGGTGAAGGCTGAGGAGTTAAAATGCCATGAGAGATCTTTAGAAGTCTGGAGGGTCTGATCTTGAGTGCGTGGGATCTCAAGGATTCCCCAAAACAAATTCTTAAGGGTTCTGATGTGAACTGACATAGTGGAATGAAGAAGCATTAGTGGTCTTGTAGTTGTAACAAGTTTAAAAGCTTACATAAGACTATTAAAATACAGCTCTTCAGGGCCTGGGATTTAGCTCAGTGGTTTTGCTGCCTGCTGCGCAAGCGCAAGGACCTGAGTTCGATCCCCAGTACCAAAAACAAAACAAAATACAGCTCTTCACACACTTGTATAACCATTTTTGAAAGATAAATTCATGCAAATAAAGTATCTGGAAGAATCATCTGAGCTGCAGTTGAAGTGACCAATGCCCAGATTGCAAAAATTTTGGTTTCATTTTTCTGGACTAGGCCCCTGGCATTGGTTTTAAGAAATCGGCAGGTGGTTCTGTGCAGTGGTTAAAAAGTATTGCATAATCATTGCTTTATTATTGGTGACAAAACTGTACTTAAACTAGCTGAAGTAGAAAGATGAATTTATAGGAAGGATATGGGATTTACTATAGGATTGAAGGATAAAGTGAACATCTAGATCCTTAGGCGGAAAGGGAAGGTGTGGATGGAGTTGAGTTAGCTTCAAGATCCTCCCTATTAGCTTCACTCTTTTACAGACCAACTTTAATGATAACTGGTGGAGAAAATGCTGCTCTCAGTCCCTAAGTCTTACGTACAGATGCTTCTCAACTTAGAGTGGGTTTGTGTCTTGATAAACTCATTATAAATTGAAAGTATAGTAGGTCAACAAGGGTTTTTTTTTTTTTTTGGTACCGGAGATGGAACTTGGGTCCTTGCACCTGTGAGGCGGGCGGTGGAACCACTGAGCTAAATCCCTGGCCAACAATGCTTTTAATACACCTATCGAGCATAGCCTAGCCTAGATGAGAGGTCCTCAGAATACTTACATTAGCCTACAGTTGGGTATCAAAACGGTATTGTGTTGAGTATTGCTAATCCAGGAAAAGATTGAAATATGAAGTATAGCTTCTATCAAATGCTTATCACTTTCACACCATAATAAAGTTGAAATATCCTAAGTTGAAGCGTTTTAAATTGGGAACTCTCTGTATTTCTGTGTTTGCCACTATCTGGGAGTTGCTTCTCAAGTACAAACTTTAGGGCTGGGAATTTAGCTCAAGGTCCTGAGTTCAGTCCCCCAGTACAAAAAACAAAAACAAAACTTTAAATTGCCATCTTCGTCCTCCATAGGGGCCCTCATGGGTTCTAGCTCTTCTTTCTCACTACATTTCAATTTCTCCATATACAGTTCTACCGCCTGCCTCAGGTCCTGAGTTTGACCCCCGATACCAAAAAAAAGAAAAGAAAAAAAAATTCTCCATGTAAACCTCTTGAACTGGAAAATATGACTACCTTCATAAATGGTCTCAAACATGATTCAAAGTCAAACTGTAGTTATGTTACTCTTCTACAAGTGATGGTTCTCTTACGACTCAAAAATTAAAAGAATGAGAAAAAAATCTTTGCTCTCTGGAAAATAAAAAAAGAAAAACTAAATTAAAGGGGGGTTAATAAACTAGCTACACATGATCAAGGTGATTACATACCTGATTTCAACTGGGCCATTCAGTTGGGACCTTGGTCTTGTAAGAATTTGTCCCCTTAATGTCCATGTATGGAAGGGGTTCATCTCAGAGAAAGGAAGGGGTGCTGAGCTGACAACACTGTACGATTACCAGTTAAGCACATGTAAGCTTTGATGTAAATATCAAAACACATTGCACAAATATTGGTATGAGAGTAGTCCCCCCAATTATTCATTTATTCACTCTATTCATGTGGTGAATATTTGTTGTGGTCCTCTCTATGCTTGACGCTGGTTTACTATTGGGTGAGTGGGAAGGAGGAGAGTAAATAGAAGATAATACAAATGAGTTACTTTTTGAAGGTGATAAGTTTAGCATCCTCAGAAGAGCCTTCCTTTCCTATTGCCTACTCCATGGAGAGATAAATATTCACATTTGTTAAGGGCTTTACAAGGCAACCTCTGCTCCTGTGCAGTGTTTGAGAGAAAGGCCTGAGTTGGGCCTGGAGCCCACTGTAAACAGCAAGTGCAAGTGTCTCTAGGAAATAAGAAGTTGATATAATTTGAATGAGAACAGCTACTGTAGTTAAAATACAGTAGAGTGAGGGAGGAGGTGAAGCTAGAGAAGCAGAGGGAGAGCAGATACACAGGATTTGGAGAGCAAAAGAAGAGCCTGGGTTTTTTTACACTAAATCTGATGGGAAATCAGTTGCAAACGCATACATAATACTTCGGTGGCAAGGTTCTAATCCCTTCACATAAAGTCATTTTATCAGGGGCCAGGGATTTAGCTCAGTGGTGCCGCTGCCTGCCTTGCAAGCACAAGGTCCTGAGTTCGATCCCTGGTAGCAAAAAAAAAAAAAAAAATCTTTAAATTGACCCAATGAATTGCAATTAGTTTTATGCCCATATTACACCTGACAGAGTGGAGGTTCAGGGAGATTGTGTAGCTTACCCGAGGTCACTCAGGTAGTGACTGGCAGAACCAGGATAGAAAGTAGGCATTCTGGTTTGAAAGCCTAAGCACTCAACCTCCATCCTTCATTGCCCTCTATCCCGCCTTATTGCTAGTAAGTCGTATAAGTAAATAAGTACTGAAGCTGAGTGGAATCCAATGTTTTAACCTTTGAGATCAAGCTTATAAATACTTCATGATCCTAAACTGGAGGGGGAACATATTTGTAGATCAAAATTGAGTTCTCTTGGAATAGAATAAGATATTTATGACTTAGCTAAGATTTTTGTATCTTATGGAGATGCTACAGTTACAGTTCAAATCTTACTAAGAACTCTTCTTAGTATGTATTATCCCTGTTTATGACTAATAAACACAAGATTGAAGTTTGTGCTTTACTCAGGTCGAGATCTAGGTCAGGAATCAGCAATTTTTTTGGTAAAGATCGAAGACTGTGCAGTCTCCGTGCAAGCCACTCGACTACGAGGACTCGAAAGCAGCCATAGGTAACAGGTAGACAAATAAAGCCACTGTGTTCCAATACAACTATATATTAGAACTAGAATTTGAATTTTAATATTTTTCACAGTTCTTACTTGTGGGAGTTCAAAATCAGAGGATAGACTAGGCTTGGCCGATGGGCCATGATCTAGGTGGTTTGATTTTAAACTTTTTGTGTTGTCACAAAGATACTAATACATACCATAGAAATAAAAATGCTACCTGTCTCAAAAATGCAAGGACCTGAGTTCGATCCCCAGTACCAAAAAAAAAGAAATAAAACTGCTAGAATATTTTTCATAGGCTTGTTCTGAGGATTAAAAGAGGTAATGGCTACAAAGCATGTATCACATTTCCTGGAACAATACTTATAAATCTATTGAAAGGTATTATCCTTCCTACTATATTTTTTTAAAGTTTTCTATTTAGTTGACAAATAATAATTGTATGTATTTATAGGGTACAATATGATGTTTTGTTACAAATATACTTTTCAGTACTGAGCCCTTTTTCTTTTGCATACCACTGATACAGTATTTAGTATTAAAAAGTGGTTTGGATTGCATTGTAATGAGTCCACCAGTAAATGGCGCTCTTATCTCAAGTTTAAGAGGCTGCCTGTTTCTGAGGAGGAGACTGAAATTGTATTGTAATTCTGGGCTGTTGATATCAGAATTACATTGAATCTTTGGCTATCCTGTTAGTATCTGTTGAATCAGAGATGGTTGGGGATAGAAAATACTCAGGATTCTAGAATATGGGGCCCATTACTTATCAGCTGTGTAGCCTTGCTTTGGCATATTACCATCCCTGGAAACAGGTTCCTTGACTGTGGTGATTACAGTACTCACCTCATTGTAATACAGTACTTAGAAGGAAAGAGGAGACTTACCCTAATTTCTTCTAACACTCATTTGGCCCAGGTCACATGGTTTGTTGACCTCAGGTGTGCTTCTCTGTGCTGCGGCATGTGGTCTGGAAGCCTGAGGTGCGCTAGAGGTGTCAGTGGGGCTTAAGCCTGGGGCTCTGAGTTCCTGCTACTTGAGAGGAGTGACAGGAGAAAAAGGAGGAAGGCATAAATAAC